ACTACCAACCAAATGTCTCAGTTCAAAATATCATTAATCCAGGACACTATATAAAAAAAATTATATTCTTATTTTAGACTATTTCTCTTGGGAAGGGACAGATGAAGGTTTTACTGTGGGTTTTCAATTCTTATGTATGAGGAATTAAAATAATATTATAGAAACTTTCTATAAAGGAAAAAAGATTGAGGCTGGAAAATACCAATTGCTGAACCAGGACAGGGGATATGGGAGGAAAAATTGCAAATATAGATGTCTGACTATTTCTTTGAAGTCTGACACATATCTATGACAAAGAATGATTGCAGGAAAGTATTTCAGTTGTATAAAAGTAACCATGCAAGAAAAGAAATGCATCAGAAAAGACTTATTGCTTGGAATATGGAAGAAACTGCCAAAGTCATAAAGCCAAGAAAGGTACATGAATTCTGCAGGAGCTGAAAAATTCTTTTATGGTAGCACTAGTAAATTCTAGGTAGGATCATATTTCCTGAGTGTGCCTGTGCAGGTCCTGTCGGTGATGTTGTTTTTCCTTTTAGCTGGGCAGAGAAGAGTTTTATTGTCCTGCAAAACTTTGAGATTTCAGAACATGTTCCTTTTTTACCCAGGGAAGAAAGCTGTAACCTTTCCACATGCTTGGTTGAGAATTAAAAAAAAAAAAAATAGAGATGGAGATAGAGAGAAAAGAGATAAATGCTCTCACATACCTATCATGCCTTCCCCACCAACCCTTTCTACTGACTGCCAATAGAACCACAAGAAAACCTTGTACTTCCAGGGTCTCAAGGCTACCCCTTCCCTGCCTTTCTTCCACCATTCATGGGAATACCCCAAAATGTTGCTTGATTCTTCAACAGAAAGTCTCTCATAGAGGTATAGCTTGCAGGGAGTCTTTTCTGAACCTGGTTAGTGCCCAAAACCCCGGGTCTCTTATTTTGACTTTCTGTTTCTCTCCTGAAAATAAGATGATTTTGCTGCCAAAATTGATTTGAAACAGCTACTCAGATGCAAAATACAGTCTAAGTCATTGGGAAGACCTGTGGGGTGTATTTTTTTTTGGATGAAGAGCCAGCAGTCTGGTTTTGCATTGGTTCTGGTGACATCTTACCATCCTCTGGTTTCTTCCAAGCATTTACTATGACCTTGTTGCTGTGTCCTTATTTCTCAGAGCTGTGGGCTTTTTACAGTCACAGAGGATCTTCTGTTCAGGTGGATGAGTGTGTGATCACAGGCTGGCCACCAGAGCTACACCCAGGGAATATCTCTGTATGACTTTTTCCTATGATCCCAAGGGTTTTTCTTCTCATATCACTGTCTCCTCCTTGAATTCTCTTTATGAATGGGTTTGGGTGGTTTGGTTTTTTTTTTTTGCTATGGGAAATACTGGAGGTGGTAAAGAACCACAGTTTTGTTACCAGCCACTTGAATTTCACTACAGGCTAGTGTGCAGCTATGTTCTAAAGAGACACTGCTTTCCACTTGCAGCATGCTTATACCACTTTATATCCCGTTACATGACCCTGCTTCAATATTCTTCCCCCATCTTCTTTCTTCTCCAAGGGCTTTCTGAAATTACTCTAATCAGGGATGACTGTAGAAGAAGGGAAAGATCATCTGCCTGAAATGCAGCCCAGGTGGTGGTGCTGGGGTGTGCACAAGAGTAATGGGATCAGTAGGAGACTGCTGTAATAGTATGCCAGGGTTTGAAGCGTGTCTTACAAGTGATTCCTGCTGGTCAGGATGAGGGAGGACCACGGGAGGAATGATTAGTTAGGGGGGACAGGGTGTTTGAGGGCAAGCTTTGAAGACCGGTCTTAATGGATGGTTTAAGTGGTTTTAATGGATGTTGAGGATTTGCTTCAGAGGAGAAGGATTACAAGCGACATTAGCAGTGAGTCCAACCGTGTGTTTGGTATGGCTCATTTTGGGGAGTCATTGAGGAGTTTTATTTAAGTATGTACATACAGGGAAGTGTCAAGAATGGAGACATTTGCCATAGGTCCATCATATAAATATTTGCACTGAGAGGATGAACTTCACTAGCTGCTGTGTAAATGATGACATTCACTGCTGCAAGAGCACTCTGATAACTGATTTTGGCACTGGGCTCTGGCTGCAAACACTGTTTTCTCTGCTTTACACTGGCTTGGAAGCAAAGACTTGGGACAGGCTCAGGACATGGGAATATTGGACAGGGTGCCAAAGCACCCTCTGCCTCTGCAGGCACCCAGGGAAGCCAGGCAGTGAGGGCACAGCACATGGGGGAAGTTGCAAACAAAACAGCTGGGGCTGCTAGGAAGCAGTGGCTGCTGGTCTCATTCCTCTGCTGAGTATGAAAATTGAATTGTGATCCTCATGTGACAAATGACCATGAAGACTCTGGCTGTCACAACACTTGTGGTGCAGATGTGGGGAGTAGTCACATAGTAAAACTTCCTTGAATTTGCTAGTACTCTTTTTTTAGTAGCTATTTCATAACCAGATTTAGGTTGAGGCTTTCATTTTTACTTAGCTTTAAAACTGTAGTTTTCTTTTAAATACTGTTTCATACTATCATTTGAGTAGATTAAGGGTTACATTTGGAAACACCTGAATTTCTAGTGAAGAGTCATAAACCCCAGGAAGGCACCCTGACTTTCTCTAAGTGATGGCCAGACACACACTAGCTTACCTGATTTTGTCAGCAGATGTCCACGAGATGGTTTGTGTGCACAGGAATTTTTAGCCTCTTCTGGGCATAAATTGCCAAACTACTGACCAAATTTTTTGGTGATAAATAAATTGTCTTTAAGCTGCACTGATGGTCAGTCTGAATGCTGCCACAAGCCTCCTTCTGGCTTCCCCAGGAAGCTTCCTGGTAGGCTGGAGAAGTCAAATACTGTGAATTAACAATGTAGTTGCCATAGCTTTTCAAGCAGAGCTAGGAAAGACTGTTTATTCATCACATTTAATCCTTCAAAAATGTTCTGGCCTCTGAAATAAAAGCAATAATGCATATGACATTGCATCATTCTTCCACTAATTTGTAACTGTACCTACTCCAAGAGAGACAAATTTAAGTAATGACTTACATTTTTTCTTTTTTTTTCTTCTACTTCTGCAACTATTACATGAGTAGTTAATTTCTTAGAGTAATGACAAAGAGTAATTTCACTAATTATCTGACACTGAATATTTTTTCCCTGAAGACTTGGCTAGTCTGTGCTTAGGAATATCCTATGGATCATTTCTGACTCAGTCCATGCACGTTTTCCGTTTTGGTGCTGTAAATGCAAGCAGAACTCTGATGAGCAAATCAGCAGGAAAAAGCCAGACTATCTGAAAGGAAGTAGAATTGAAGAGTGCAAGCATTAAGCTTCAGAAAAGACTGTCAGGCATGTGCAGTGTGACTTGTTCCAAATACATTTCATAACAATTTTATTACTCACCTTATTCAGGAGACATGTGAGTGACTCCAGCTAAGCTATAAAACCACCACCCTTTTTTTTTCCTGTTACCTACAAGAGAAATCCTGTGTATTATTAATGTGATAAATCAAAATACTTCCATCAGACTTGTAATTATTTATCCTTCTTTCATGTACTTCTTTAGGAACTTGTGTTGATCTGAAGCTGTGTAACAATTACTGTTTTCTGGGCAAGCAAGTAATGGGTATAAGCCTGAAAAGAGGACACAGTTTAAGAACATAAAGTGAGGGGATGTTTTCTCTTTGCCATATTTTATGCTGAATTTAGATGTCTGTGTGTAAGTCTCCTGAATAGCTTTAGAGAAAGGTATATATTTGCTCAAGTGGAAAAAAGAAGCCATCGTGGATGGACTTAGGCAAACCGTGTTTCTTCTCTTTCTGCTCTGTAAATGGAAGATCATTCCTCTGCTTTTGTCTCATGCAGGTAAATAGAGCAGACTTTTGCTGAGCTGGGTCATCCTTTGACAAGGTGTCTGGTTCTGTTCATTCTGTTTCTATACCTCACAGTGTGGCTTAGAGTCCACTCAAAATGTTCTATGTTGCTTCAATGGATGATGTAGTGTTTCTGGAATACCTAAAGCTGAACAGAACAGCCAGTCCCATCCTGAGCACGTGCAGAGCAGCCATAGGGCCAGCAATTACTTTGTTTTCCTGCTCCAGCAACTTCTGCCTGTAATGCTTTTACAAAGGGCCAGCTGTGAAAATGAGATTCTTTGATGAATTATGCTATGCGTAATTTTTTTTCTCAGCAACTGGTTAAATGGGTGTCTTTTTTTCCCTAAACTTTTCCACTGAAGAAGGCTTTGCCAGGGCACAGGAAGGTGCTCTTGGCTTAGTGTCAGAAGCGTGAGCAAACTTCCCTGCAGATTTTTTCTTCTCATTGAGTTTCTTAATATTTAGATGCATCACTCTTTCATTCATCCTTTGCTTTGTGGCATGGTCTGGAAATGCATTAAAGAAACTGAATAATTTCTGGGAAATTATTAATTCTGGAATGAATGTGACAGATTTCATCATGCGTTTGGCTGAACTCTGCCTGAGTGACTAACTGCTTTGGGAGAATTTTCCAATTGTCCCTCGTGAAAGTCAACCTCTTTGAATTAATTCAGCATCCTCTATTTTGATTAAGTATGTGTCAGCTCATTGTTAGTGTGACAGAGATATGGGGCTGCTTGTTTTCCTTTTATTATTATACAAACAAACTAATCATGAGTCACGAACAATACGTGCCCTCAGGGCATGATAAGGGACGTGAATGATAAAGCATTAACTGCTCTGCGTGCAGGCTTCTCTAGTGAGTTAAACAAGCAGGGACTGAACAAATTAATGACAATACTTTTCTTTCCCTGGCATCTTAACAATTCCTCCTTTCCAAGGAAAACTGTGGTCTGTTAAGCCCTATGTTATGCTGAAATAAAAGGAGGTAAAAGAGGAAGATGAGTCCTCTGTGCAGTAGGCATCACAAGCCTAGTCCGTTATCTCATCCTGACTCTGATGTCTTCTAACAGATTCCCTGTTTCCAATTTATTTGCAGTGTGGTTCCTTCCTATCCTCATTACTAAGATTTGACAGCATTTGGAACAAATGTGTATTCATGATATTCTACCACCCTGAAGCATGCTGCCATGGCTCTTTCTAATGGACCAGAAGTTGAGCCTTTCCTGCCGTACCCTTGTAAAAGAGAAAACATCGAGACACACAATACATGGAATATCTTGGGAGCCACAAAAGCATATGTTTTCTGTTCTGGAAAAAGCGTTGTTACTTGGTGTTAATTTCTCTTCTTTTCCTTGCATCTGTTGGACAAACACTTTGTCCGTGGCAATCCGTGTAAGATAACAAACTCACTGCAGGGTGTCTGAGTATATGGAAGAAAAATAACACAGGAACTTGCAGAAAGAGCAACCAGGTGCAGATGGAGCTGAGGCAGAAATATTGGTGACAGATGTTCTTCCTGGCCTGCTGGAGGAGTATGCACCAGACAGCATCTTCATCATCCTGTGTGACATCTCCTGCCTTGGAGAAGTGAGACGTTACATGATGACTTTTACAACTGCCTAACGCTGCCAGAGGAAGTGAAGTGCTGCAGCACCTCTGCCTGTAAACACCTTCTCCCAAGCCACTCAGTGGCAGAGGGACCATAAAGAGAGGAAAGGCCCTTTGGAAAAAACATGCACCAGCAGATTATGCTGCTGACTTGTGAAGCTTGGCAACACCCTCCTCACAAACACCTCCACTGGGCAGGGCACTGTAAATAATGGAGGAACTCATAGTTATTTGATCAGAATAGAAGATGAGACAGATGTCCACACCTGCAGAAAAAGAGCTCTTCTATTTCACATGATGTTGTGCAAGGTGGGCTTTACCTTCCTAGAGAGTCAGGATTTGGTGCATTTGTCTACACCTTCATTAGTAAATAGTGTAAATGCATTAAGAAATGGGTAAAATGGGTAACATGCACTTTCTTAAACTCAAAAACCTTTCTTCCTCACTTCCAAATCTCTCTGGAGGAGAAGCCAAGAGAGGGAAAGCCCTAATCTATGAGAAACTTTTGCTGCCATAACTACTCTAGATTTTCCATTCCCAATAAAGTCATCGCAAGATATGTACAGAATCCTTTGGTGGGTGCTAAAGACAAAACAAAGATTTATTTTTTGGTATAAAAAAGAAGAGTCTGGCTTTACAGATTGAAAGTTAGCATTTTGACCATTTGTATCATGTGACCCTCTGTTTTTCTGTGGATCTCAATATTAGATGAAATCTTTTCAAAGGATGATTGTAAATTAATTTTCATTAGCAATCAAGAGGCAGAGCTCCATTCTACATGCAATTTCTCTTCTTGCTTCAAAATTCTTCTCTTGCTGTTGGAAAATCTCCTTTCACTGATGACCCCTCAGTTATTTTGCAGGGAACTGACTGCAGAATGGGGGAACCCTCTATAAAAAAAAAAGTAAAAAATCAAGTTTAAATGTACAAAAGTTAGCAATGGAGAGGGCAACATGATTCAGACTGCCTTTGCTTGGAGTTGGAGCTGAGAACCAAACAAGAAGCTGATGCTTCCACCTCTTCCTATTGCTGTTTCAGAACAGGAAAGCCTTTATCAGTGTGCAGCCCTTTGCAGAGCAGCCTCCACCACAAAGACTATGTTTGGAGTTTTCATTTTTCATTGGGATTTTTCCTTTTTAAAGGATTTTCAAATTAAAAAATAATAAGAAAGCAGGCTTCATGCATTTAAAAATATGGCATAAGGTGCTGAGGGCCTTCTTACGCTTCCCAGCAGTGTTATTTAAAAATTCAACAGTAGTTTTTAAAAGGAAATATCAACAGATTTGTGAGAAATTGACAAAACATTTAATAAATGTCAGAGAAAAACATGAAATAGCTTGTCACTGGTTTTGGACAATTTTGCAAAATTGCTTCTCTAGACCAAGCAATCTCTTCTAAGGTAAAAAACTCCTTCGTTGTTAAAGAATGAAAAACAATTTTCCTTGCTCCAAAACAAAAGCATCATGATAATCAAAATGTTGCCATTTCACCCCACTGTTGAAAAGGTCACAGTTTTGGCTGGAGGCCATGCTGCAAAGCAAACTGCTTTGTCACTTGAATAGGCTGGCTTGGATCATGAAACATCCTAAACTGGGACAACAGAGAGAAAAAGGAAAAGAGCATAACTGCCTGAGGAAGAAACAGAGATTTAATAACATTCATGACTCCTTTGTACAGCATTAAGGCAAGAAGGAGAAAACAAAACCCCTTCCAGGATCCCCACAATAGCTTGGAAGGCATTTTGAAGAGGCTGATTGTTCTTTTTTCTATCACCAGTTGTGACCAACGGGAACCGTGTGGCAATGGCATCACCCTCACTTGCCAAGAACAATGGAAGGGATGCACAACACCCTACTAAAATTTACACCGGGTTGGCAGGCACATTCATACTTGGCAGGTTTTGGGGGCTGTCTGTGGAGTTAAGTTCGTCTCACTGTTTTACCAAAAAATACCCAAAAAACCTAAAACACAAAACAAAACCTTTGGCGGGGGAAGAGAGGTGACAGAAGCACGGAGCAAAAAATGTGTGTGTGACTATCAGAGTGTGGGGCAGAAGGGAAGAGTCTCTGGTGTGCTTAGTGACATGTAGCTGCAGCTGAGGGTGGAGGGAAGTGTTATTTCTGAGCTGGAAACTGCTGGGATTTGCGTTGCAGATGACTTTACCTGCCACTGGTGGCTGTGGCCAGGCTGGCGGTGGTGGTGGTGACCTGCCAGGTCTGGGTGGTGGCACAGCCACATGGAGCTCAGCTCACCTCCCCCTTTTTGGAAAAGAGAATGAGAGGCTGAGCCTCCTCTGACAAGAAGAGGCGTGCCAGAGGAGGGAGAGTGACCCAGATCTCCCGCAGTGGGCAGGTGCCCAGGGTAGATGAGCAGGGTACACTGTCATCCAAACCATTTCTTAATATATGAACTCTAAGCTGGGGAACAGCAACAGCAGAAGATTGCAATTGGCCTGAGAGAAGTGCTGAGAAACACTGAGACTGCAAGGAAGAAGGAAGATTTGCACTGTCATGGCTGTGCTAGGTTCTTGGTACTCTGGTTCAATCAGCACCAGTTTTATCTTGAGCCACTGGCACTTGCTGTCCTGAGTAAGGAAACTTGTGCTTGAAAGTGGGCTCCAAAACACCAGAGCTGAGGGGACTGATCAAGGAATGTACAAGGACTGGGGACAGTGTGGCCCACTCCAGCTGGGAGTCATCAGCTGGGGACAAGGGGAAAAGGACAGACCTCCACGTGAGGGGAAGAGAGAAAGAACAAGAGCTGGGGGTTGCAGGTGGGAGAAGGAATTCTGATAGTGGGATTCAAAGGTGTAAGTAGTTCTCATGTCAACTGATTTTAAGGGCATTGCATTTTCTTGGATATATTTATTTGCATCCCTTCTTTTCATAGGGCTCTCCTAGCTCTTCTGTAGTCCAAGCAAATCTGGAAAGTTGGTGGGTTTTTTTGCCAGGTAAAGAAAGACCTTCCTTGGGTTTTACCTTTATGTCTGTCTTCAGGGAAAATAAAAGGGTTTTTTTGCTTTGCATTCCTCCTCTGAAATGTACTAAGCTTCTCCTCCTGTTCTCTAAGCAGCTGCCCCATGGGATAGAAAAAGGAAATTAAACAGCTAATGGTTATACTTTAATTAGGCTTTATTGGAGTTAACGCAGCTTATGTGCTGCATATGTGCTGCAGAGAGTTAGACACTTAAAAAAATCCTGTCTTTGCTATTATGAGTTTATGAGAAAGGAAGCCCAAGGAAGATCAATACATCCTCTGTGTAGATTACAAATGGTTCATGACGTATGTCCACAGGAGCTGTTTTTAGTGAGGGTAGTCTAGTTATTATGGATTTGACATGAACTTGGCCTGGTGCCCTGAGGGAATGCAATGTAGGCATAATTTGGTCTTCCTGTAATTGTCTATTTAACTTGGCAATCCAGAGTAATTTTTTCCTGTGAAATGAGACCGAGACGTCACTAAAGCGGCGCTCAGATTAATTAATGAGACATAATAATGCTCCTAATAAAAGCTCATGAGCTGAGTCCTCTTCCCTCCCCTTTCCTGTCCTTCCCTGCTGTCCTCCCCCTGCTGAGAATGCAGCTTCCCAGGAATCCATGAGTCACACTTCGTAAAGGAGTTTCTTCTTTAGTTGACGCAAACAATACAGCGGAGAAAAATAATAAGTGCAGGACCATCTGTTTGATGAAGTCCTTGACATTTTATTTCATTTCCCCCTATTGCATATTAAAGGAAGTAAATAGAAAAACATTTGCTAATTATACCACTGTTTACTGATTGCTGGGGCGGCTTTTATCGTATTTATCAGAAGTGCTAGCTCGTTGTGCAGTCCCAGCTTCAGCATTCTCCTTTCTACTTTGGGCAAGAGGAGCACAACAGGAGTCATGGGTGCTCAGCCAGGTTTTTGAGGCCTTCACCTCTGAGCAGTTCACAAAGGGATGGAAATATTCTGCTTCTTTGCAGGCTGGAAGCCTGGGAAAGGTAGTGGGACCTCCTGGTTTGAGGTAATTTGCTGGGCTAATGAAAGAGCCTGAAGCCAAAACTCTGCCTCTGAGGTTGGATATTGGGAGGGAATGCTTGCCATTTCCTTTTGTGGACCCAGGATTTTGTGCTCAGTGCCTTGGGTTTGTGTTAGTGCTCAGTAAAGTTTGCCAGGGAAGCCAAATGGCAGCCCTTTGCTGTGACTTTGGTAGGGTGAGCAGCAGCTACCATCTGGTATTATGAAGGAAATTTCCTGAACATGTTGCTCGTCCTATCTCCTTCCCAGTATGTTGGATCATGTTCTTGTTGCCCCATCTGGGTCCCTTTGTAAGGTAGTGTTTTATGGTTTAAGAGTGGTCTATGGACAATACAAGGTTTGAACATTAAAATGCAGATCCTCATCCCTCCCTCAGACTGGGATTTGGATTTGGCTAATGGGTAAAGCAAGCCAATGCTGTTTGAAAACAAACTGGTGGCCAAAGGCCAGTTATACTAGGCAGCTATTTCCTCTGCAAAATCTAAGCTGTTAGCACTCATTAGAAGTGACAACAATTAATCAAATGTCTGTGAACTAAAGCACTTTTTCTCCCACCACGCCATGTAAGGCCAGCACGAGAGCTACTTGGCCTAGCCCGTTGCCAGGAAAGGAAAAATTTCAGTGCCAAGGAGGGCATGGTGACCTTATCTACGGATGAGGACACCGGGAAATTCAAAACCACCACTTTGCCTTTGGATGAGAATTCAGAGATGATGAAAGAATCTATTTCTGGATTTTTCCTTGGGTACAACAGACTTGATGAATTTTCCAGTCCACCATTTGGACAGATTTAAGGGATTTTATAACTTATAATTCCATGAAGATTCTATCAGTAGTGCTGGTCATCCTGATGGGCTAGATGTTTTGACTCTTCTCTCTAACATCCGCTCATTCAGACAGGTTTATATTCCCAGTGCTGTAAAACTCTCAGTTCAGAGCACAAACAGTGGAAGATATATTTCTCCATGGCTCCAGCCCATGGTAACACATATGCTGACTTGGCTCCGAGGGGTGAGCGTTGCATGTTGGCCTGGCCTCTCAAGTGTCATCATGAAAGGAGTTATTTTAAAGCTAGAGGAAGATGGCTGTCTGACTGTGAAGGAGATGTCAGTATTCACACCACTGCTTGAAGCAACCAGCACATTAAAATTGTTTGCTATAGGAGGCCTCAAGTAAGAGTTATCTTTCAATCTCCAGGGTAACAGATCTCGGAAAGTTCAAAGCTGGCCTACTGCTGGAACTCATTTGTTGTATTGATGATTGGCTATAGAAAATCATGTATCTTACATGGATAACTTCATAAAGCACTTATATCTTCAGACAAGTAGAATTCTGCAGTACTGTGTGGCCTCTGGTTCCCAGTTCATCTTATTTAAAGAAATCTTGGTATT